GTGGAACCATCCGATCGTTCACAAATGGAAGTGATTGTTTGAAAGCGGGTTCCCGAGTGTGGACGCTCATCGATGCATATTTCAACCCAGCGATGCGAGATAAAGCGACCACTTGTACCACCAACACGAATACCACATCTGCATGGGCAAACCGCGAAGCACACATGCTTAAAAAAAGGCACAGGAACATTGATGTGTGCAACAGCGAGCTTGGCAACGCCGAAGGAAACTATTCTAGGATGTGGTCCAAGTCGGCACGGTCTTCCAACACTTCATCCATCGATATGCATGCTATACAACCAATCCGTTTGACTTCCACCCTAAACTCCAAGCATCAGTGCAACAATCGACAATGAGGAGACCCACTTGGCCTGGTAGGCCACAGCATCTTTGATGACGTTCAACGTCTCGAAGGACCCTGATATGACCTCGGCTAGTCTAGGCGAGGGAAACAATTCTCACATGAAGCTTCCAAGCATGCTACTACGATTCGGACCCAGGATGGTGTAGAGCCGTTCTGCTCTCGACTGATGACGTCTCTCGAGGCTCCACACCCCGACCCCACGTGCGCATGAGTGGTATACGTGACAACAGACCGATGAAAGATCTGGCGGCGCTTCTGCAAGCACGGCTTTTTACAGGGCTACGAAACCATGCCCGATTTGGAGATTCGTTCTCTTTCTTCACAGGGTTTTCTGCTTCGGAACACTCTCCAAGGTCCTCCAGACCCCCTCAGCGCTGCCCCCGAAGCCATTCCAAGGCAAGGTGCCATCTCGACAGTGGATCGGCTCTGCGGATCGTCCTCGGCGCAAAAATCAGGCTGACATCAGCCTCGTCTGAGTTTTGGACTCGGAGTAGAGATTGGTACCGGGTCTCATTTCATGCCACCTTTCTTCTGACTGCAACTTCTGCAGCTTGGAAAGGCCACGACGCTGTCTTGTGGGTTAGCTCATGTGCTCTTAAGCCTTAGCCGAGCCGAGGCACCACGTCCAAGATCTGATCGATCAGAGAAAGCAGACCCCGCATGGTCCTCGGCTGTCCGCAAGCAGTTCAGAGCCGAGGAGGCTGCAATCCATCCGCGGTCGCCCAGTAGCTTAGCAAAGCAAGAGTTTCAGCCAAGGTTCGTGTCCTCACCGAGAACTCGGTACAGGAAGTCGTTGGTACCATAGGCACCAAGCCTGAAAATCAAGGCTTCGCGGATGCGAGGCAGGAGTATTGAAGCAACTCCGAGATCTAGTCCGCCATCTGCATGACTCCAACTCCAACCTGAACAACCTAGTTCTGCCCGGGAACAGAACTGTCAGCAAACAGTCGTAGGTTATGCGCCGTCGCCCCTTCACCTTGCAGAAACGAGAGGAGCAAGTCTATGCCGGCCGCTACCCTCGATACATTCGAAAATGTCCAACGAGCATGGTGCAGGGGGTTCAGGCGCGCTGCCAGCACAGCACAGAGCCTCTCACGCACGTGAAGCGCCAGCAGGGTAAGCTCATGGCTCGCCAGCAGCGGAACAGGATGAATGATATCCGAGCATAGATTATGATGAGGAAGATGCTCCTTGGTACACTGGAGCAGAAGTCGTTCGGCAACACTGCCATGCGATGGACAGCACAACCGGATGCTAAGCAGGTTCCCGACAAACTATCCGATGTCATTTTTGCTTGCGGTGGTAAACGCACCCCTTGCCAACACGCAAGATGACAAGCTGATTGATGATTGTTGACTGGCATGACACGTGAGACGCAATCTCCTGTCGACCACACGCCAAACACCAATGCTTGTGCATCTCCAAATTTCAAGCATCAAATACCAGCCACTGCTTTCTCAGGCACTGGAGGACCAAGTACGTGGTCCAGCGTGGCGCGTCCTCGCGACTTCAGACTGTTGGGGTCTGCTTCTGTCTCATTAGGCCCTCATTAGGCTACATGCAGCTTCAGAAGGGGAGTCGCTGCGAGAAGAACGCTGCATAACTTCGAGAACGGCTCGTAAAACTTCTGCGCCCCCCCTCCCTTCACGTTCAATGCTTGTCCTTGAGTCTAGAAGTCCATCCTGCAATTGCTTCCCCCCCGTCCGTTACAGCCAGTTACATCTTTGTAGATTGGGCACGATGTGCTGATGCATGCACCTTTACTCGAGGTGCCTGACACTCACAACCACCAGCAGGCCTGCAAGACACTGTGCGTGTTGATGCTTCTGTCTGAAATGATTCGACCTGTATCCGAGAAGTAGAAGTCCAACCTCATCCTCGGCTGTAAAAGAAGCACACGAAAAAATAATAAAAAAACGATCAAGCCGTGCACTTTGAAATTACCATGCACGCCATGGCAAACTACTTGGCAAGTGTGTTTATGTCAAAAGGTTAACTGGTTTCTCTACCGTGCAGAAAGGATTCCGCTAGCTTGACTGACATCAACCAAGCGGCAACGAGATGGCGTCAGCATTGGGGAAGTAAATGAAGCTAGCCACAAACACGTCACGTGTGAGGTCGTCAATCCACTCGAACTCTCGCATCTTTGCCAGGATGTCGGCAGAGACGAAAACCTTCCAAGTACAAAGCTGTTCGGAAGTAGCCCAGCAGCGCAGGCAAACTGGCTTGATCAAGCGGCGCAGTAGTACGGAACGCCGTCCCGCATCGTTGGGGAGTAGCCCAGATGCGGTTCCGTGGAGTACCTGAGATCGAAATGGACTAGCTGGCATGCTGTCAAGGCCCCACGCTCTGCCAACTTACTGAACCAACATTCAAGCCGTTTTGTCGTGCCTGCTAGGCATTTCGGAAACGCACACGCCACATGCACCCGAAAACATTGACACGCTTCCTGGGTCGCTTCGCAATTACCACCGCAATTCGTCTGCGACTCAACACATTCTTATGCCAAGCTCGTCTGACGAAGGGGGGCAAACTTGATTTCGACGCTGCTTCAGGATTCTATGGGCATCAACTGCCGTAATCGGACCTGCCCGTCAGGACTTGAACTTAACTTGAACTTAATTGTGCTAAGTTGTTGCCATGCATTCCTTCGGCGGCTTAGGTCGGAGAACTTCCGTCACCATGGGACGTATTTGAGAATTCAACGCTAGGCCCCGTGACATGTCCGACAAAAATCTCCATTTCCAGTAAGACTCGACCAGAAGCAAAACCACATGATGGAACTTCTGCATGCTGAGCCAAACGATCTCCCAACGCGAATACACAACACCACTCGGGAAGTGTAGGACCTGTACGTGGACCCCATGCAGCTGGCCCAGGAGCAGGAGCGGCAAAGAGGTTAAGGCGTTTGCAGGACTTCGAGTCTTCAGAGGCAGATCCCAGTAGCAGCATGCAATAGCTGCAATAGATTGCAATAGCATATCCCCTGATTGGGCCACGGCACTCCTCCCCGCGGCAGCGGAGGATGCTCGAGTTTCGGGGCGCTTTCAGGGGCTCCCGGTAGACGGGGTTTGGGTCCTGCACCCAAGCTTCAGAGGCTTGCGAAACGCGCCGTTTTTGCAAGACAGCAGCAAAGGGGGGCGGGGGGTTGGAGCATGATCTGGGAACTTCGTTGCAGGAAAGACTGTGGCTCTCCATGCTCCCGGAAGTGCGTGACATCAGAACCACACCAAAGCATCTTCAAATTACCTGCCGACACACTGCCAAGCCTTTCCCGCTTTCAACCGCTGCCAAAACAAATACCCTCAAGGATGGTTGGCAAGATAGACATGTCACAAATTTGCCACCGGGCAATATAGGTTTACGGCAATGCCCATGCTGAATCTTGCAGAAATTCGTTGCAACACACCTTTGACACCCCAGCACACTTTGGGCACACAGCCTGGGCATTGAAGCTGTCCACGAAGTTCGACTCGCAATCCTTCTCCACGTTGCGCGACTGACAAATGAAAGGAAAGCCGACCTTGGATTGGCCATGCGAGGAAGCCTCAATCAACTCCAGCAGCTGTCGCTCTGCCGGTGCGGAGTTGTCAGGCTGGTCAGTGCTGCGGACCTCTTGGGCCCAGCCGGATGTTACACAGTCGTTGCAATAATGAAGCTTGGGCACAGAAGCAGCTGTCATGGAGAAGGGACGGTACCGCACGAAGGCTTTTGGAGGTGGCTTGGGTGGCCCAGTGTCAAAACCTGCCGCAAGACAAAAGCAGTACTGTCTCTTGAGAAGCTGCTCCATGTAGTGTGGAAAGGGCACCCATCGGACGACTGCAGATCGGCAAACAAATCACCAATGTCAAGTTGACACCCCTCAGACTCAAACTCCTGCCTGCGTCGCACGGATTGAAAATGTCCACAATGCCACAAGCCGCACAGGCACCACAGGCACCACAGGCACCACAGGCACCACAGGCACCACAGGCACCACAGGCACCCCAAGCACCACAGGCACCACAGGCACCACAGGCGCTGCAGGCGCTGCAAGCGCCACAGGAAGCACTTGCGCCACAGGCGCCGCAGGCATCACAGTGTGCACCGCCACCACCTCCACACTGTCCTTAGAAATTCTTCGAGATCCTGGACGCACAATCTGCAAGAATTTACGGCAGTAGCAGCGTTGTCATCCATGCAGCTAGCTGATTTGAGGGACAGGACCGCTCAAAGTTTACACTTCCAACGCAAGTTTAGGGGAGCCTCACATCACTCTGCACCAAAAAATCAAAGCTTGACTTTTTCGGACAGCAGCCGGTGCCACACCTGCTCGGGAACATGCATGGCAACTCCAAGGCGGGTTGAACGGCTTCGGCCCTAGGGTGGGTCAAAGCTTTGACACAAATGGTGTGCAGTCGTGATTGTTCAGTCAAGGTCTGGAACAACGGGTTCAGAGTTCAGACCACCGAATCTCATGCCCCAGCTTGTGGACATCAAATGGCTTGCAGACGCAGAAGCCCAACACACATCAGCGAACAACCATAGCCTGCCAGCGTCGCATCCGCCGTTGCAGCCGGTACACAGGCCACCACCAGAACAGCTGCAGGGTGGAGTTAGGAAAACAAACTCTGCAGCTGCACTGGACAAGGTGTGGGCGATCACTGCGGTCGGATATTGAACTTTAGGTTGTCAAGTCACCCTCTGACTCATGACATGTACAGGAAACTCTGGACACCGACATCATCCCTTGTCGAAAGTCCTGAAGTAGTAACACCCATCAGTGTCCAACCTGTTGGCGTCGCAACTCACGGAGCAACCAGCGGAACAGCTCGAGCACGATCCAGCACCAGAACAGCTGCAGGGAGATGCAAAAAGAAAACAAGCTTTGCAGCTAGACTGGTGGCGCTGACGTACAGCCTGGGGCAGAAATCCTGCTTCTGACATTTCCCCGCCAGGCCTGGCAGTATTGGGAGCTGCAGAGCAACTAGAGCAGCTGGAGCAGCCGGTGCAACTGGGCAGGGCCAAGACCCTTCCAACTACCCCGAAACGACTGAAGCACGGGTTGAAATGATTTCGTACTCGAAAAAGACAACAGAAACTGCCAGAGACGAGAGAACTTCGAATGTTCTTGTTTTGCCAACTGGAAGCAGCAAACATGGGGGCCCTGCACAAAACCATTTCGAGTGCGAGGTGTAACTCGCAAGCTTCGCTCGGTTCATGGACTTTACCAAGACGAAAGGAAAAAAACAACAAGCTGCCAAAACAGGTCAGGCACTTGGCTGCACAGCATCCTGTTGAGTTCACCTTACAAGGACTTTTGGACCAAAACATCTAAGGAGATCTAACCGGTTCGGGGACTGGAACGCTGGCTCCTCCCAACTAAACGGCAGGCCACACACCACAAGCCAAGCGGCCGAAGACAGCAAGCGTGAGCTCACACTGTCCAAAACTTCTGCGACCTCGTGTTTGGTACACATGCATGGAACCTCTTGGAAAAATGACCGAGCAGTGCAGACTTGCATCAAAACCGAAAGCGGGCAAGCATCTCAATCTCAAGGTTAAAACATCCGAGATGCCCTCGCAACCTTCGTTGGGTTGTGGAAATAAACATGGTCTGGGCATCCATGGGAACGGAGAACCCATTCGCCTTTGCTGGACCTTGGTACGCGCACAACAATCGCAAAACGCTGCGTGCAGTGGGTGGGGGCTTCCAGGCAGGCGGCCTGCACCTGCATACATGCGGACATCGTCACTATGCCGCTATGCCTGCCTAAGTTACAGAAGTCCAAGCAATCCATGCAGGCCCGAGGAGGCCTAAACAAGTCAAACCAATAGTGCTCTGTGTTGTGCCATTTTTGGGCTGACAGTAATACTAAATGTCTTTGCATCAGCTGCCTCCGTCTTCTGTGCACATCGACTGCTCTCACCGGCCGCAAAGAGCCTCAAGAAGTTCCGACTCCCAGCCCTACGCGACTTTGTTTGTTTACCTGTCAGTTTGCTGCCTCCAGCTGCTGCGTCGCGAGTCCGATTTAATCTCACGGCCGTCAGAACCGATTCCTTCATGTCACGTGGAAGGGTCTACATCTGCCTGACTCCGAACTGGTTGGAACCTCCGTCTTTCCTCCTTCCTTTGATGAGTGTTGGCATGTCTAGCGTGATGCGCAAGGGGAGTGGTTTCACTCCCAACTTACCGTCGCACAAACGCCCACTCATCGGTAGGCTCCATGCGGCAGAATGTTGAAAGGCTGAGGGGCGCACACAAAATTACATGCTCAGCGGCGCGAGTGACATAAGGAAGGGCTATCCCAAGCGCTGTTGTTGTGATACTGGACTGTATGCCATAATTACGAACGGGGACCTGCGTTCAGGTAAACAGGGTTAAGGGGGTGAGAATGATATGTGGACAAGTGATCATCACTCCCCTAATTTCCTGTTCATCTGGGGAAATTGAGTACCACTTCGTATCAAACGACCAGCCAAGGAAACAAACAAGAACGAAGTTCCAACCAACGATGCGAATGGTGTGACGGGGAGAGCCAGAAATTCGTGAACTCACTTTCCCTTGGCCCGCGCCACGGCGGAGGACTGGCCATTTAGAACAGAGTGAGCTGTATGGTGGAATGATCCCCCAAGGCCGGGCGTCCGTACTACCAACCGCAAACCCCTAAACCTAAACCCCAACCCGCATCCCGGCCTTGTGGTTCTGTACCTCTAGCTGTTGTACAGCACAGCAATGTCTCATGCTTAATGTCGGACATGACCCTACCCAACCAGCCATCTCTCTCTTTTTCTTTCGCCAGGGCTAGGGACAAACGGAGCAAGCCCCCTTTGCGCACGCGTCTGCGCCCCAATCTCTCTTCTTCTTCTTGCTTTGGGTGTAAGGGCCGTCTCAAGCCCCCCGGCCCCTTTGGGGCCCCCAATGTTTGGGGCTTTCGGGAGTAGGGAACAGTTTTCTCTGCTCTTTGCTTCCCTGCACGCCTTCCCCGTCCATGCGGAGTCCGTGGAAGAGCGCGTCTGCGTTTGTAGGGGCTGAGTCAGAACTTGTTGCTTCGCTATTCAGTTCGACATGCCATCCACACATCGAGGTCGATAAGGAACTCTTCATGTTCCGCATTGTTGTAATTAATCACAGCAACAGGAACAGTCACGTCTGAGTCAGCTTAAGGCAAGCGTATGCACGCCTTGCCCAACTGAGCTCTGCAAAACGCGATCGCGGAATGAATTGCGCGGCGGTTGAGGACCCAGCCCTCTATTGGCCAAACATGTCTGTGCTCCAAATCTGGCTGAGGTGCGTCCCTTTGGGTGCATCCAAACTCAAGCTTGGCTCTCCCTGTACACGACAAGTGTCGCCTGAATCGGGGAAATTGCAAGAGATCTGAGCAGGCATGAGCTGTCAGCATTGGGGACAAAGCACAGTCGGGCTAAACAAAACGGAGTTTGCCGACGAACGGTGACACAGGATATACCTAGCTGTGCCTTTACACGCAGGTTTGGATATTCCGCCGCAACTCCAACATTTGCTTCTTCCTTCTGCAACCAAAGCATGTTCTCCGAGAACTAACCCTGCTGCAAACTACCAACTGTACACTAAGCTGAACCAGTTGCCCAACCAGCTGCAGGCAAAAGACCCGTCGAAGCCTTCCATGTTACCTGGCAAGGCTGCGCGTCGACCGCCCAACAAACTAGCCGAACTGGGTCAAACAGTCTAGGCCATGCGGGCGGTGCGAAGTGCAGCTTGAATCGCAGAAATCCTGAACACTGAACACCTCATGTGTGGCAATGCGGTCTGCATGCCAGCAACGAATCATGCAAGCCTGGGAAGGTCGCAGCCGGAAACACTGGGGAAGAAACGGCTCCGAGACGGACCAAACATAGTGGTATTCCTGCGCGCACGGACTTTTGCATCGGCGGGGCTAACTCGCGGACTGCTGCGAACGATTCAACGAGTCTTGCTCGCCAAAGCCGAGGCCCGTCCTGCACTCCGTTCTCCTAGGTTGCTCATCGGGAGCACGCAAGATTGACGTGCCCAGCTCTACTTCGAGTGAGCCATCTCAAAGCTTGCGAAGCCTTGGCAGCCCTTTGAAAAGAAAATATTTCTACTGAACTCCGAAGCTCGTTCATCATCGATCGTCCATTGCACTCGTCCAGCTCGCTGTTGTTAAGCAGGCGTCCATCGAGCCCGTAAGGACCACGGATGGGGATGCCGTCCTGGAAGCAAGATCATGGGAAAGCTGACAACCACGTCGGGTTGTGAAGTAGAGTCGGCAGGCTCTAGCCGGATTTCCTTTCGACTCGCACACTCTCAAGGGGTGGGCATACAATCCAGCCCACTAACGCGCCTTCATTCTGCAATCCCCTTGACATGCTTCAACCAATCTAACCAGGCCAGTCCAAAGCGTAGCCAACGACGGGCGAAGGCTTCGACAGCTGCGGCCAGAAAGCAAGTGGGTCCTGACAGCTTCGTCAAAATGTGCCAAATACAGTCTCAGCCCTTGCCCTGGCACTGCGTCACACGGCCAATCCCTCCTACAGTGCTCTCACTTGTGGAGGACCTCGATGGGAAGCCCAATCGGCCTGAAGTTCTCTCCTGCTGTAGGTACATCAGCAAACCTGACAACCCAACCAATCTGTGACATGGCACGGGCTGTGTCCACCAGTCCGCTCGTCCAGGAGACATTTGACCTTCAGCAGAGTATTGGACCAAGGTGGAGTTGACCCCCAAAGTTGCCGAGTTGAAGTTGTCCTGAAATGAGGTTCGACCCCGAAGAAATTCTAAGCATGAGGTGCCCGAGCCCCTGATGTTCCTTGTCCCCAATAGAAGGCATGGCTTCGGGGATCCATCACGAGGCCCCGCGGGAATTTCAATCCGCACAACGCTCTCCAGGCCTTGACCCGACAAATAGCACGATGGTGGAAAATGGTAGTGGTAACGTCCACTTACATCCACGTGCCCGCCGCAGTCGTCGAAGTGCCTTTCGGATGGCGTCGGTTGTTGCAGAAGCACACAGACGGCATCATGGGGTCAACGATTCACTGGTCACCTGACCATGCATGTAGACTCATCGCCTAAATACTGAGAGTGCGGCCATGAGGTTGGCATTGCATGGCCCCGTTCGTGATGGGCTCCGATCAACAAAACCCCATTCAGTGCCTAGGCTCCACTCTGGGACTTCGGCTTGACTTGCTGACAGCACGTAGCACTAGCCACTCGCATACCCCCGTGAAGTGGGTTGATTCCAGATGCTTTAGTTTCTGCATCTTTGGTTGCCAAATGTGTACGAGTATGGCCCATGCTGTGCACAAGGCGTTATAACAAGGCAAAATGGGGCTTGCCGCAGCTGTAGAGGCCAACAACAGGAAACCACAGCAAGCCACAGGTGGAAGCCCACTGATTCAAATGGTCCCACATCAGACCGTAGCGAGACAATGCACATAAGTTGAGTAATTTTCTTACATGACGGTGCAATTCGTGCAGCAGGATTGGACGAAGTTGGGGACAAACGCATCAGGATTTGGCAAAAGCCCAGAAGCAAATCCGACGATTCCGGATGTGTTCGCCAGAGGGTGCGGGGAACTCTCTGTCCAGACCTCAGCTAGGTGGTGAAATCTCCGAGATTCGATTCGACAACTCAGGCCTTCAGTGTACCAACAAACTCTTGTGCAACATACCTGGCAACTTTGTTTGCTGCTAAAGACAGATTTGCAAAGCAATGTGTCGATTCTGGCTACTTTCTCAGAAGGGTCTCTTTGCCTCTGTTTTTCCAAGCCAAGAACAACCAATAAAATCAATGCAGGAGTCGGCTTCCTTCGATGCTTGCTTCGATGCCACGTGCGGGGGTCGTAACGGCACTGATAACTCACCTTGCAGACTTTGGGCGGCTGGATCTTAAGAGCTGCCAAACGTGGGTGGTCACACTGCTGCGCTTCAACCTTTGAACTTCGACTACCGCAACAGAAATGCATTTATCCCTCAATGTTGTTCTGGACGTAGACTACAAACAAACCTTGAGATCTTTGGTAATGGAACACATGCAACACATGTTATGCTGCTTGTGGCCGAAAGGCGCTTTCGCGGCGCCTTGGGCGACTTCACACCAGTGAAGTTGCTTTTCTCCTGTATCAGTCAATGGACGCGCCAAAAAAACCGACTCATGCTGAAGAGGTCATCCGCCTCTTCCAGCCGCCTGGCCGAGCAGCTCATGGTAAACTGCCGGAGTTCCTTCAGGGCCAAAGTTTCCGTCAAACTTTCCGAAGCTAGCAGCCACTGCGAACTTGGCCTCGAACCCGTGATCAGAGGATCCAAAGCAATGCATGGGCTTCCGTCCAACTGCTGTGCACGAGCCCTTAACACAATGGGACTGAGGGTCAAAATTCAAGATCCAGATCCTTCTGTGGCTAGGAACGAGGCAGGACATTAGCCAGGCAAAGAAGCAATCCGAGCAAAGCTGCCAAAGAGCCTTGTTCCCGAACCAAACTGGAACAATAAAATAAAGGACTTTGCAATGTAAATTGCACTTCATTTTGGCGCGGCGTCCTGAACCATGCTCATCAACGCATCACCTTGGATATTCACATCCGCCAAAAGTCGGACACAATGCGTGTGATGTCCTGGCTTAGAAAAGGTGCTCTCTGCATCCTGGATCCGCTTGTTGTACACGTTGTAATGATCCTCACCAATGAAACTTGACATGGCTGCTGACAGAACCACTTTTCTACTCTTGGCTTGCAACTTGCAGGGTGCGCCTGCAAACACGGACCGTGTGACCGCCATTACTTTTGCAAAGCTTTGCATGTTTCATCAGACCACAAGCTGCAAAGACATGGAGCACAATGCTCAGGCAATCCAAGATTCAAGGAAGGCTTTGTCCTCTAGACTTCCTGCATTGCGAGAGAGCTTCAATGTCAAGTCCGAGCGCCAACTAATGTGACTGATGCCAACAAAGCGGTGCTGCACTGCCTTCATCTCTTTTGCACCGAATTCTGTTCACCTGCACATCGGAATCATCAAGAGGCTGCTTCGTCATGATCGTAAAGCTACAGGCCCAATATTACGTTGCTGAGAAAGTCCGAATCGGGGCAACAACACTGCCGCCGGATGCATCTCGAGGTATGAAAACACCCGTCACGAGTACGATGAGGCTACATGAGCATGAGCTTCTGCATATTTGTGGACGCCATCGTGCCATTACAGCTCGAAAAGGACTGCCATACTACTACACGTTTTCTATGCAACACACGAAGGCATGTCCATGCTTCAGCTACTCACCATGCAAGTGACTGTGAGTAAACAGTTAGGCCCTGCCGCAACAACTCGAAGCTGACTACTGCTCAACGCACACCCGAGGATCCCAAACAACTCACAAGATCGTTGTGCCAATTCTTGGCATGGCGCAGGGAGTGGGATCGTCTCGTCATCGGCACACCAGTGGTATACATTCAACGGATCTAGCTGCGCCTGGAACTGCTGAAGGCTTACGGGAGCTTCGGCTGCCGCACCATAACAATCAGTAGGGTCAGTAGGATCTTTCGTTGTAGGATCATGCCAGAAGTCCTAGCGTCGTTGAACAACAGTGGGTCCACAAAACTTCGACACTTGGCTGTCCCGGAAGACATCCCGGCCCATGGCTCCAACTCTAACTCACGACTGGTTCAATCCGTCCTGCGAGCTTCGTACTCAGCTCCACAGGCTTCTTTCTGTTGTGTCCAGCCCCAACGTCGTGAATCTGTTCATCACTTTTCAACCCGGAACTTGTCAGCTGGTAAATACCAGGCAGCTCCTGCATCGCCAAGTAGCATTGGACACGACAAACGTGTCGAGGTACTCGATGAGCTCGGGGATCTGCCGAATTCCGAATACCTGAACTTCTGAATCGTTGAGATGCTCTCTCCAACCATAGCGAACAGCCTAGCGTGTCCGCGACCGGCCACGGAAGCATTGCCAACATCTGCAAGCCACATGTCACTGAAGCTGACAGCTTCAACCGAAGGCCACATGACTCAATTTAAAATTCAGGATTGGACTTCTTGTCCATGTCCCTGGGCAGCTGCCAAGACTAAGATTGCTACGGTTGCATTGTTACGGATTTCCCCTTGGATTGACCACAGAATTCTGAGCCCAGGAACAGTCTCCAAGTGGAAATGGTCCGCCAAGCGCAGATGAATGCCAGAGAAGTTGGTCGGCTCGTATTCTACCCTGCAGTCTCTGACATTCCATGGTGCCTCTACTGCGCTCAACTAGTAACTAGGACATGGTTTCCATCTGCGGACAAGGATCTGCTGGATCGCAATGAATAAGCAGAAGCATACCTGGCAGGACATCGTCCAAGCCGTATGCTGATAACCATTTGCTCCAAATGCCGCCGAGACGCAACAAAGAAGAAGAAGCGGGGGAGCATCTCCAACATCTTGAACTCCAATCTGGGCATCCCCATACAGAGCTCTAGGCAGTGCTCAGGGAGACCCAAGTAAGGTCGCGGCCCAATGCGCTTTCGAAGAACTTCCCTGCAAGCATTGGTGCCATGACCGGATGCTCATGCACCGACTTGCAGAATGGAAGCTGGAGACACTGCAACGTTGGCCTGTCCAGGCCACTTTCCACACAGCTGAAGTACGCGGAATCTGAAGTGAATACCCTGGCAACACCTGAGCAAGCAAATATGCGCTGAGGCTAGCCATCAACACACATCACCACGAATCAAGCTAAGCCCACGCAATGATGCGCAAGCAAAGTAGGTGCCCCAACTATGAGCTGAAGAGCCGTTCTGGGAGACGACGTTGCTAACCACCTGAGAAGATCGCTGGATGAACAGGCATGCCTAAACTTAGATCCACTCCTGCGCTTCGCCCTACAACGTCACCTCGATCACACAGCTTGGCTGGGCCAACTTGCACCCAAGATGCATCCGCGAAAGATGATCTTCCGGGAGAACTTCCGATCCTCTGACGCATGCAAATTCACGGTGACATCAGGTTTCTGAGAAACAAGCCCGCATCGAGCCTCGTCGACGCGCCAAAACCAGAGGATCTCCCATCATGCCCGGCTCCAACCGTTTCATGCCTAGCCGACAGCTCACTCTCCCGCACCGACAGTGTTGGTGTTCAGTCAGACAAGTCAAACCTGTCCGTGACAATATTACAATACGCTACAAAAGCGCCCAACTTGATCAGTGTCTTCCAGGCTGCAGCCACGTCCCTAGTCCCTAGCCATTGGACTTTCGCACGATGCCCCTAACAAGATTCAAAAAAAAGGAAGGCATGCCCAGCAGCTGCTTGTCACACGTCGGCAGTGGGCCCCGCATCAAGGCCATATTCACACAGCTGGCTGATGCAACCGGTCTCTCTGATATGTAGAAGATTGGAGAAGTGTCGAAGCCGGTGCTGCCGTGTGAACGAAATAGGGATGCCACACATCCACATTTTCCATGCTACTTGCATCCAATGCTGACATCAGCCAGTTTGATGGCGAGCAGCGGGCAAAGCGACAACAGGACATCCTGATTCTCGCTGATCCACCTCTCTCTCGCTCTCCCGGCATGCGCATCCGGGTCGGATAGCTGATCCTAAACTGAACTTGTCACACTTCCCAAACATCTGCAGCCCTCCGAGTGCACGGGCATTGTGTCCACAGTCTTGCAATCTTCAAGCAGTGCCTGCGGCATGGCAAGACTGATTCGTGCTGCCTGCACATACATTAGGATTGCTGTCGGCCATCGAAACAAAGAAAGCCTGCGCCATGTCGTCATCGACGAGTAAACGCAGCCTGCTCGAGTCGAGCAGTGGAGGGTGCTGCAACGAGTGTCATGTTGCAGCAAAGGTGCTGCTTCGGAGTTGCTACACCCGCTGCCCAACAGCGCGTTGAGCCATGCAAATGAAGCAGCAGCCCGCCGCAAACCTGCAACCACTTTAATGAAATTGAGGAACAGAAGGCGGATATCTAGCACAATGCAACATTTCCAGCCAAATCACATGGTGGTGCGTGGCACTTGGGGCACCCGCGGCCACGGCGCAAGCTAGCGGAGTTCCTATCAGCCATAGCCACTTCCATCAGTTACAACAACCAATTTTTGCAGGAAGCAAAAATACATCAAAGCCTTCCGTCAATGTCGACTGCCGATGCTCGCTGCCTCGTGTTTCTTTTTACGGCCGCCCTGCCCCCCCCCTTCTTTCCATGACTCTCTTTCGCTCCAGTTCTCGGCCCTGGCAAATGAGCAGCTGACACAAGACTTGCCGCAGCAGATCTGGCCTGTGCGCACACACCCGAAGTAACGGTAACGGTCCCGGACCATCCACACAGCCTAGGCCGCCTAAGCCTCCGACTCCAAGTAAACGCGTCGCCGATGCAGAATCGGTGCAAGTATGTTTGCAGCCTGACCATCTGAGGAGAAAGTAAGATTTTGGGAGATGCCTCATGTGAAGCAAACGTAGAATTTGCGTTCAACATGCCATTCCTGGCTCCCAATCAAACCCACGCACAACCTGTCTAAACTTTACACGGAAACAGGACCTATCAACAGGAAACCAGTTTCAAAACTTCAGAACACAAAAGCTGCTTTCCACCAGCTTCAGATTGTTGCTTCGGTCTCAGCACGCAGACCACAAAGACGAGCCCCCGCCAATCGAATCTCCATGCAGTCCACTTGCATCCGTCGTTCCGGTAGAGCTCAAAGCCATGTTCGCTTGACAGATCACGGTGAGCCCCAAAAAACACCGCAAAGGTCACAAGCCTCCGCATGTGGTCGCCATCGACATGGTGCCACCCCACCAGCAAGAAGTCCCTGACAGCTAGTCGAAGTTTCGGAAAGCACAAGCACGAGGTCAAGATACGCACATGCAACCGAACGTCGGAAGAGCAACCCCAAGCTGAGCTGTATGAACACTACGAACACTGCATGCACCACACTAGATTCAGCGGCACCCCGAGACACTGTGCCAATTGAACAGGCGCAAGCTACATGTCCTTCGGAAGATGCTCGAAGAGGAAAACGCCCATCCGAGCCCAGGCAACCTCTCAGCGAAGTCTCGCCTAGACTTCGTGAAATTCGATCTACAAATCGTAGCTTCGTGCATCAAAGAGGCGCGCCGGCCATCTCCAGGGACGGCATTGAATAGCCGGGCAACTGCCTGATTTCAGAAGCGTGCCGACTGTGATACCAACTGGCTCCAACTCTCCACCTGAACCTGCTTTGCAACCATTTCGATTGTCTAGTTTTCTGAAGGAGTGGATATACATTTTGCCCTGCACACAGGGGAAAATGTCGTGAACGTTATGCCACTCCTTCCTTGCTGCAGGGCATCTGACTCAAGACATCTGCACGTTCCAGATCCGGCCTCGGAAACCTGGGTGACGGAGAGGACACGCAAAAGAGGGTAGAATGAAAGGGTTGCATAACAGCTTCCTTTCTGGCGAGGCGCTAAAGTTATCCTTTCTGGCTGCGTCTTGCCTTTCATTGTCTGCCAAAGGAGCAAGCCACGTTTCAGCTTGTCCTCCGGCAGGTGTTCCACAAACCATCTCTGCCGATGTCTGACATTTGCAAACAGCTGAAGTCCTGGCTCCATGCGGCATCGACACCGTAAAATTCTTGGAGTTCTTGCCAATCCGAGTCAGCTTCCGAGACACGGTGAAATGTTGCACCTAGGCTGCTTTCCGCCGCTATGACTCTCCACCATCTCAAGGACTCACAGTCGTCCGGATCACGGATGCTCATGCGAGTCGGGTCGCTGAGTAGCGGATGCCCGCCGCGACCTTCACATTGAGAATCCGGCGGAGCACGCGGACCTGCATGCAACTATGACAACACTACAATTTACACCGCGAACACATCAAGTCGGACTTCTCGTGCAAAAGCATCACATGACACGTGGAATGAGCACCTTGAACAACATCGGAAGTCGCAGCGCCTTTTCTGAAAACCGCGACCTGATCATACAAACGAGAAGTACATCTGAACGCATCTGCTCACTGCGTTCGCGCCCATTCTGGGGTGCTTGCGAAGAAGCCACCAGTGTTGGAGTGGTGAGGGTAGAATCGAGCACACTTCGATAGTTCCTGGAACCCCATCCATCTTGCCATGCGCTAGCAGAAACACAAGAAAGCCAGTCTGTTGAACCTAGACTGGTGCAACGATTTTCCTCAATTGAGCGTTCAAGCTGGTGAAGTGCTCACTGGATCTATTGCCTGGCTCACACCGACCTGCTATGCCGCCTCAGGCTTTTTGAAATAGGCTTGCTGCCACCACGGCAGGCTGGAGCTCATGAACTCGATGTCCTTCAAGTCCTTGCGCACCGACACTTACATCTATGTCCATGAAACTGTCAAGTGTCTAGTGAATATAACACATGCTCCACGAGAGATGCTCGGACTTGGTCCTTCTCCAGGTTGCCCAGGAGCTTCTCTGTCGGAATGCGGCCAGGGGATTTCGAATCGCCGCTAGCGAAAGGCTGGGCGATGCACACGGCCACCTCGAGAAGAGCTTGGTACAGAAAGGGTCCCACTGTGGCAAGAACCAAGGCGATTGTCAAGTCTTGCAGCGAGTGTGACACCTCGGTCGCATTCGCAGACTTGTGCGTGAAAGGGCTCATGCGGCTATTGGCAAGTACCGTGCTCAAAGTCACTCCGGAAGTCATGCCGAAGCTGACTGCATTGATGATGTTGTTCACCAGAACAAGCGCCGCCATCATTTGAACATGGACATACGGCGGCTGAACTCGAACCGATGCACGCACTGTGCGGATTCCAGTGTAAGCCTGCTCCGCGATGGTGATGATGCGTCCATACGTGGGAGTGGCCATGGGCGGAATTTCTCCATCAGCAGCCATGCGAGTCAGGAGAGATGTGATCCACACCCAGAGAGTTTGCGCTGGATCTTCAATAGATTCTAATATCTTCTTCTCAGCCGGCAACAGCTTGGCCACACTTTTAGTCTGATCCTTCCAGGCGACTCCACTTTCATCTTCGCACGTCAACTCGACCCACCGCTCCTTCAAGTATGCACGGCGGTCTGCTGGAGACATGGCCGATGCAATCAGATCATGATCCAGGCAGTGTGCCGAGACGACGCAGTAGCGAAGACATAAGTGCACGCGGTCACGAGGTACACCGACGGCATTGAGTTGCATGTGCAAGCCGCGGATTGCATCAAAGAGCTCCAGGAAGCCGTTGGTGCCTGAGCTTCTGAAACACCCAGCAGAGCTCCAGGGCTTCTGATTGTGGTTTCGACTCTCACACTCGCACCAGGCAGGCAAGGCTCCACACAATAAAGCTTGAGCATTAAGTCAGGCCACCAGGACCGATGTAAGACCCTAACACCAAAAGGTCAATTGCTCATAGCTTTCTCCTCAACGAGGACATTGCCCCGTTCTCCACTAGTCTAGCTGGTAGTACACAACTATGGGACAGCAGTGACAAGGATGACCTGCGGGCCGTAGCTTCAAACCCTACACATACCAGGTAATCATTCCTCAGTTTTGGATATAAACTTGCGGTATAGACCCTTGGGTCAAGATAACAGGGTGCTGTTGGAGCGACAAGTTGCAATTGTACCATCTTTGAACCGAGCTGGAAAGGAAAAAACCGAGGAGAAGACCCACGACAACTTCCAAGAAGGAGCTAATGCGAGAAAACCTGCCCACATTGAGCTTTGCAGGGTCTTTGGTGAAAACGACCACAATCGAGGCAGTCGTCAAAGCAATCATCAAAAGGATGCCCATCATCTTCCACAACGATGGCTTGGTCCAAACCGTCCCACTGAAGTTGCGGAAGACTGAAAATGTCACCAGCTGGCGTGCATCATAACTCATGGAATCGAAGGCCTCCTCGTTCTCCTGCATCACCCAAACAGCAGGAGCTGAGAAAGGAATCACATACATACATATATAAATACATACATACATACATACATTGACATACATTGACATACACTGACATACATTGACAT